ATCATCCACATAAAGAAGAAGCAAGGTGGTCCCTTGAGCAGTTTTGCGGACAAAAAGTGTAGTATCACGAGAGCTGGAGGTGAAACTACAGTCATGAATAGTAGAGCTGAACTTGGCAAACCAAGCGCGTGGAGCTTGTTTGAGACCATATAAAGCACGCTGAAGTTTGCAAACTTTATGAGGTGGATGAGTAGACCTAGGGGGAGGTTGCATGTAGACCTCCTCAAGAAGAACACCATTAAGAAAAGCATTTTTCACATCCATTTGATAAAGATCCCAGTGTCGGGTGGTAGCAACCGCAATTAGGCTATGAACAGAGGTGAGTCGAGCAACATGAGCAAAGGTCTCCTCATAGTCAATACCATATTCTTGGTTGAAGCCTTTGGCAACAAGGCGAGTTTTATAGCGCTCAATAGATCCATCAGAACAAGTTTTGATTTTGTATACCCATTTGCAGCCAATGGCAGTCTTACCAGGAGGAAGATCAACCATGTCCCAAGTGTGAGTTTTGTCTAAAGCCTGCAATTCATCAGTCATAGCTTGCTGCCAAAGAGGATTAAAGCGAGCCTCCCGATAGGAGGTAGGTTCATAAGTAGAAAAAGCAGTAGAACCAACAATAAAGTCACGAAGACGAGTAGAAGGTTGGATTACCCAGTGTGGTCGAGCAGGAGGTGAAGGAGCCAGAGGAAGAGACTCAACAGGAGGTGAGGAGTCCGAGGGAGCAAGAGCAGGACCATCAGAGCAGGCAGGTGCTTGAGAAAGATCAGTAGGCAAGGCAGTCTCGAGAGAGGCGGGCAAGGGCGGTGGAGTAAGCTCATCAGAAAACAGATCTGCAGAAGGGTCAGTAAAACACAGAGAGGGTGATGAAACAGATAAACAGAATAGAGAGAGAGAGAGAGAGAAAGGAAAACATTTTGTGTTCCCAAAAGACCACATGACGAGAGATACGGAGGCGCTGGGAGAGAGGATCCCAACATCGATACCCTTTATGTTCAAGACCATACCCCAAGAAGCAACAAAGGCGGGAACGAGGTTCAAGTTTGATACGTTCATGAGGTTGGAGAAGAACAAAACAGGCAGAGCCAAAAACCCTGAGGTTGGTATAAGGGGGACGAGTGCCATGTAAACGCTCATAGGGAGTGTGATTATGAATGACCGGTGTAGGGATACAATTGATAGTGTAAGCAGCAGTGAGAGTTGCCTCACCCCAAAAATTTTCCAGACAAAAGGAAGAGAGAAGGAGGGCTCGAGTAGTGTCGAGTATATGCCGCTGTTTCCGCTCAGCACGGCCATTTTGTTGGGACGTACCTGGACAGGAACGATGAGGTTGAGTACCATGACTCCGAAGGAAGGAAAGAAAGTTAAAATCTTTATATTCCATGGCATTGTCGGAGCGAAAAATCTTAATAGTTTTAGAAAATTGGGTTTTAACCATTGCAGCAAAATTGTAATAAAGTTGTTTGAGCTCAGAGCGATTTTTCATAAGAAACAACCATGTAAAACGAGAAAAATCATCTATAAAAACAACAAAATAACGTGCGCCTCCCATAGTAGGAGTAGGAGAGGGTCTCCAAATATCAGAATGGATGAGATCAAAGGGTGCAAGAGAAACAGAGTCACTTTTATTAAACGACAAAGCAGGTTGTTTGGCAAGTTGATAAGACACACAATTGAAAGCATCAGAACTTACAGTACCCAAATGACCACTAGAAATTAAAGATTTCAAACGACCAACAGAAAGATGGCCCAAACGATAGTGCCAAAGCTGAAAAGGAGATAAAGGAGGAGCAGTGGTAGCAGTGGTAGGAGCAGTGATTTGAGAGGAATCCAGAACTTGAAAATGGATGAGTTCGTAGAGACGTCCATGCTTACGGCCTATCCCAAGAGTTTGCCCTGTCCGAGGGTCTTGCACCAAACAACCAGTATGGGAAAAAGTAATAATTAGACCATTCTCACATAATTGACTAATGGAGATAAGATTTAAAGTAAGAGCAGGCATAAGATATACATGGGATAAAGATAAGTGAGAGGTGGAAACAGAACCAACATGACTTACAGACAGAGGAGACCCATCAGCAGTATGGATAGAAGGAACATGAAGAGGCGAAGAGAGAGGAGTAAAAATAGTAGGGTTAAAGGTCATGTGATTACAACAAGCGAAGTCAAAGTACCAGGAAGTGTTACCTGCGGTGGCAGACAAAGCAGTAGATGGAGGAGTACCGGAATTCGGCCAAAAATGTTGAAACATGGCTTCGACATCTGTGTGAGAGAGGACCGGAGTAGAAGGGTCCATAGGGACAGAGGAAGGTAAATCCTCTGAGGCAGCAGTAGCAGTGCGTTGAGCAGGCAGTGTTTTAAACGGAGTCCCAGAACGGTGAGAGTTGTTGAGGGAAAAATTCCCGGTGAAAGGACCATGGCGAAAGGCACGGGTAGGATTGCGGAAGCAATCTTGCTGGAGATGACCAGGGCCAGTTTTGTTACAAAATCGACAAAGACGAATTGGACAATGAACCAGAAGATGAGTCGATGGAAGACTGCGGTTGTGACAGTAGTTGCAGGCAGGGGACCGCTGTGAAGAAGGTGGTGAAGGAGAACTCCGAATCTGGGGAGTAACAAGAATAGAGTCCACAGGAGGCGGATGGAGAGTACCAAATCTGGTTTCCTTGGACAGTAGTTCAGAAATGGCTTGCTCAAGAGTGGGTAAAGGAGTGCGGTGTAGGAGAGAAGCGCGCACTGGCTCAAAACGGGGAGTGAGAGCCATGAGAAACTGAACCAAGCGCTGTTGGTCACGGTAGGTAGTAAACAAGGCAACATCCTCAGTATGAGGCCATGGAGGTTCAGAAAGAGCGATCTGATCCCAAACATAATACATTTGGGAGAGGAAATCATCAATGGTCTGGGTTGTTTCTTGGCGCATACGGTGAAGATGACTCAGAAGCTGATATTGGTGAGCAAGGCTAGTAGTCTGATAGCGTTCTCGTAAAAAATCCCAGATGACCTTGGCTGGAGAGGAAGCAGAGTCAAGTTGGAACCTACCAAACTGAAGGCTGATAGATGTAATAGAAGTGTTGCGAAGCCAAGTGATGATCTGATAGTTTTTACTATCCCAATCTTCCAGACGGTCGACATATTTGGCAGCGGAGTCCGCGGTGGCAACGGATTCTGTGGTGGCTGGGATGGGTTTGCACACATCCCCAGTGATTATGTGCCAAAGTTTTTTGCCTTTGAGGAACCCAGACATAGCTTGTGCCCATAAGACATAGTTAGTCCCGTCAAGAATAACGGAAATAGGGTGGTTAGAGGAGTCCGGACGATCCATGAGAGAAAAAACAGTATGATCAAGGGAGAATCTGAAAATTCCGAGGGCACCAGTGAGTGTAGAAGGGCCAAAATAGTCAAAAACCAGGCTAAACCGACCAAAAAGGTCCAAAAATTGGGGTGAACCGGCTTGGGAAAGTGGCTGAACCAGTTGGAGCCGGACCGGCTGGAGCCGAGGACAAAAGCGGATGCAGGGGGTGCGAGCCGGCGCGAGGGACGCGGGTCGGATGGCTCACGCGGACGGCTGGCATGGCTGGCGGACGCGGAGCGCGTGGGACGCGGAAAGAGATGGGGCTAGCGTGGCTGGCGGACGCGGAGTGCGTGGGACGCGGAAAGAGGTGGCTTAGGCAACTGGGGACGCGTGGAGCGCGTGTGATGCTGAAAGCGGAAGCAGGCGATGGGCCGGCGACAAAAAGAGCGCGTGACGGCGCGTGTGACGTCGAAAGAGGATGATTCTGGTGGCCGTGGATCCGTAGTGAAGAGATGAAGGCTTCGGTGGTGTCCAAACTGTAATTGAGAGAAGGACGAGAGGGGCAACAATCTGCAGACGAGAGACCCAGCAATCTGCCAAGAGAGAGAAAAAAAAATAGAGGTTAGGAAAGACACCTATGCTCTGATACCATGAAAGAAATATTGAGAGAGTGATTGAAAGAGCAAATAAGCTCTGTAATTCAATGTGTATTAGAAACCAAATGAAAGCTCCATTATATAGCAATTGTTACAAAACAGCATTATGATACAAATGGAATAGAATAATGAAAGGCGACCAAAAGCAACCGAAAGCAGAAAAGCAAAAGAAAAGGAATTCTATCTATCTGGGCTAGCAGCTGTATACATATATTAATATACTATCTATCTGGGCTAGCAGCTGTATACATATATTAATACATTACATATTAACAAACATATTAACATATTATATGTATATTAACACATTAGCCTTAAGTCTCCTCCGACTAATGATTTTCAAATAAAACTGTATACACAAAATGTCAGAAGAATAAATGACAGAATCATTTTTAAAATTAAAAAAAAAAAGAAAAGAAATTCATACACAATTTATTATCAGAATAATATAGTAGTGATATTTTTGTCATTAAATATCATTTAAATTGGCATTTTGTTTTAAAATGATGAAAAATGATTTTCAAACATAATTTTGTAAAAAATAAAAATAAGACACCTCTACTGGAATGATGTGTGAATGACAGTCTTGAAATAATAAGACACTTTTATGAGTTATTTGATTTGAAATAAATAAATATAAATTTGACACATCATTTTATATATATTTTATGTATAACTTTTCTGTTTGTATATCGTTATTCTTAAATGATAAATTTCAATGTAATCGCATTATTTTGTATATAAATTTTGTAAATATTTTTTGTTTACGGCACTACTTTTCTTAATATCAAAATAAGGCTCAAGATTTTTTGAAGTTTTAGGCTAAATGTTAAAATGAGATCTTATTTTATTGTGCTAATTAAAATTCGGAACTTTTCATAATAAGAATATTTTAAAATTTCTTTGATAAATCTTGGGCGACAGAAACTTAATGATTGAGTCATTTTTTATCAAAATTGTGATTAAATAATAAAAAAAAGAAAAGCATTTTCCATCTCCTCCAACCCCCTTATATATGCACAAATAAATGGGATACGCCTTTCATTTCAACTACAACCATGTTAATACTTCTACTCCTCTTCACCTTCCTCAGCCCAAGTTTCACCTCTGTCGACTCCTTCAACTTCTCATTCCCTTCCTTCGACTTCGAAAGCTGCACCAATGGCGGCAACTTGATTTGCAGTGGCTCCGCCACTGCAAGCAACGGGACTTTGAACGTGACGTCGGATCACCAACAACAACAGCCAAGAGATCCACCATCGACAAACCAGATTGGACGGGTGTTGTATAAATATCCAGTGATCGGATGGCCGGCGTATATATGCACCACTTTCAGTATTAGGATACTGACTGACCCCAACTCTGAAGGAGCTGGTGATGGAATGGCGTTTGTTCTGGCTCAGGATGTTGCACCCTCTCCTCCCAACAGCTTTGGCTCTTTTCTTGGTATCTTTGATCAGTCTACTCAAGGTCTATGTTCTCTTCCCTATCTTTTTTTCTTTTTTTTAGGAAAAGTTCACCAATATTTTAGAAATTTTGTGAAGAAAATTATCGGGCCATATGTGGTTAAGATTTAATTAATATATTGTGTAGTTTATGTATAAAATGAATTATAGAGTGATGCTCTTAGATAAAATCCTAAATAAAAATTGAGTATATATTATTTTAAGGAACTTTTGCAACTATTGTTTCTTTCATTATTTTCTTTCACTTTCCTCTCTTTTATATGTCTAGGGAAATAACAAACACTAATCTATAAACTTAGAAATTTTATTTGAATTTTACTAAACATCCATCTACGGTGTTTTTTTAGTTTGTTGCAGGGGTTTTGCTTTCGTTGATTTGCTACTTTGCCCCTTGTTTTTTTGATTGGTTTCTTACTAATATTTGATAATGCGTGAGCAAGTAATTGGGCGTGCATCTCAGTGCCAATCTAATTGGGATTGGTTTATTTTGTTAATACTCTTTGCACTAATCATTTTTCTTTATTGATGTAATATTTTTGATTTTCTTCAAAAATGTTATTTCTTTTGCCGATCAAAAAAAATTCCATTTATAGTTCAAATTGATTTATAAGATTAAATCTCTACCCTACAATCCATTACCCAAAAAATTATCGGTCGCACCATAGCATTTCTGAATAACAAATGCAACTAAGATGTTGAACCTCACAAGAATCTTCAGATTTATGTCGGGTATAATGGGGATCCACTAGTGAGCTTTCTCAATAATACAATGAAGCTGCAGCATAAAGTTCCTAGCTCTGTTTATGTGGGATTCACAGCCGTACAATTTATTTAGGCTTCGTTTGGGAAGTCATGGTTTGGGCTTTTTTGGCTATTTTAGCCACAAAAAACAAAATAGGCTATTTTAGCCATAACAAACAAAACATCACATCTAACCCATAATCATTACATTCTTCTCTCACAAAAAAATTCAAAAAATCTAAAAAGCCCTTCCCAAACCAAGCTTTTAAGCCCAGGCTAAATAGCCAAAAAAGCCAAAAAGTCAACCCACTTCCCAAACGGAGGCTTATACTTTCCCCAATATTATATATACTGATGTCAAATTAAACAATTACTCTCCCTTTTATCTAATGAATTTACCTAATTATTCTTATTTTTCCAATAATATATACATTATTTAAAAATGAAAATATAAGTGTTTAGATGTAAATCATTATTTGGACATAAACATAATAAAGCATAAAATAAATTTTTTAGTCTAATACACAGCATGATTATTTCTTATTCGTCTAACCAACAAATGACTAGCAGTATTGGCCAGAGTGTTAAGCCAAAACTGTAATGCTAACTGTAATTTCTTTATTACACGAGGGAGATTAGTCTAATTCCGATTTAGCACCAAATTTCCAATTAAATTTGGTGTCATATTTGGAAAATAAAAATTAACCCGGCCCACTTCGGTCTCTACACAGGCACTCCATCAGAAACACATCAAGTTCTAGCTTGGAACTTCACATGCATTGAATTGCCAAACAAATCTCTGGGGCCAGGAAACAACCTGGGAGTGAAATTGGCTGTTCCCGTGATTTCTGGGCTGCTATTTCTTGCAATATTGGCTTTACCATTTGTGCTTAGAGCTCTTAGAATACGAAAAGAGAGGCTTGCAAGGAAAGTAGACATTGAAATGATGATAGCAGCAGCAAATGGACCTCGACTCTTCCCTTACAAGAAACTTTCAAAAGCGACTCGCAACTTCAGCAAAGACAACCTGTTGGGAACTGGCGGTTTTGGCAGTGTTTACAAAGGGGTTATGTCGAAACCTCCCACCACTATTGCTGTCAAAAAAATCAATGCCACATCCAAACAAGGTTTCCTTGCTTTTCATTTCCCGATTATTAATACTGGCAACACTGCATTCATTCTAATTGGACTCATGCTCCGCTAGGATTAATGCAATGCTACCACTACCAAGTTTTGCCAGCACTTGTCCTGAAAATATACACCAAGGATCCTCTAGAGTGAAATTTTCCTAAAGTTTCCTAGAGTACTATATTGTGTGGTTGAGATTTACTGGCAAGTCACATCAGAAAAATTGATGTGACTTGCCAGTAAATCTCAACCATACACTGTAGCACTTTAGGAAACTTTAGAAAAAAATCACTCTAGAGGATCCTTACTCGAAAATATATCCTCTTTTTTTACCTGATGAAAGTTTATATATTCTTTAACCTAAGCTCTTTTTTTTTCTTTTTTTTTTTCTTTTGGTTTTAGGACTTGGATTGTTGTTGTTAAGATTTGATTTATAATTAATGTTTTATTTTATTGATATTAATTTGAAATAAAATTATGTATAGCATTGCTCTTTTGAAAATTGTCATCATGTGTTCACGTATCAAAATCATTTTTCTGTCTAATCTAGGTGAGAAGGAATACTTGGCAGAAAATCTGCACTATTAGCCGCCTAAGGCACAAAAACTTACTACAACTCCAAGGTTGGTGCCATGACCATGACCAACTCCTACTTGTTTACAAATATCTGCCTAATGGCAGCCTTGACCGCTTCATCGGCAAGGACAACACCTTCCTTGATTGGGCAACCAGGTACAAGGTATTACTGGGATTAGCATCAGCATTAGTTTATCTACATGAAGAGTGTGGCAACCCTGTTGTACATAGAGATGTGAAGCCAAACAATGTCATGTTGGATTCAAAGTACAATGCACATCTAGGCGACTTTGGCCTTGCCAGGCTACTTCAAAACGAAGCCTCAGTCACAACCAGGATAGCAGGGACACCAGGGTATTTGGAAGGCTACCACAGAGTCTGATGTTTACAGCTTTGGAATGGTGGTTTTGGAAGTGGTTTGTGGGAAGAGATCAAAAGGCATCATGGATGAGAATAGTTTAGTGGATAGCGTATGGAGGTTATACGAAAAGGGTGTCGATGCATTGCTCGATTGCGTGGATAGATTGATTGAAGGGAAATTTGATGAAGAGGAAGTGAAGAGGAGTTTGGTTGTAGGGCTTGCTTGTTTGCATCCAGATTTTATGGTCCGGCCTCGGATGAGAAAGATGGTTCAGGTTTTCATGAACCCTAACGAGCCTCCCCTGAATTTGCCCGAATCGCGGCCTAATTTGGTATACTTGTCATTTAACTCGTCTACAATAACTTCAACTACAACTGATTTAGGTTGTAGCAAAGTCGACGGTGGAGGTTCTATGGAGACTTTGCCAGATGAGACCACAGTCCAATATGGGTTATGTCATGTATAGGAAGTTCTTGGAAAATTGATGTATAAAATGTAGCCTTTTATGCAGCAGATTGAATATGGTAAATTGCAGCTACACAGGGTGATTGAAAGTTTAATTTCAATTATCTTAAGTTTTTGAATTGTTTTTGAGCAATTGTAAAGCATGACAATTGGTTTACTACATTTTAAGAGCATTGTTATTCAAGACAACAAATTAGACTAAATTTTCAAGTTCAGTGATATGATAATTAATTAGGATATTAAAGGCAATATTCTCTCATATCTTCTCTAATAATTAACCAATTATATCACTTACACATCACTGGGTCTATAAAGTGGACTTGTATATCATTTTTGATATTTTAATGATGCATAATAGGTTTAAGCAAGAATTTACCTATAACAGAGGTGGTGAAATGTCATTTTATTTTATATTTTTTATTATTCCCAACAAGAAAGACATATGATTTAGGATAAAAGAAAATTTTTAAAATAAACCTACGCTTGCATTTTATTGAAATAAATCCACTTATAGTATACATATTGTAAATATTATATTGAAACAAGTGTTTTGAACTTTACAAAGGAAAATGCTAATGACCGCTCATTGCATGATAATTAGACTCAATATGCATATATTGTAATAAATATATAAATATATATATATAATCGTATTTTGAAAAATGTAAAAAGTATATTGAGATTTTAATTATTTTGATTTTATATCTTTCTTAAAAACAACCCATAGGTTGTCATTAACTTGACCCATGTACAAAATATTTGGAAGTCTAGAATGGTATGGATTTGTGAATATTTAAGTGGATAAAAATTTGAGATTTTTACAGGTCAGTCTTATTTTCTAAGGTTATTATCTAACAGGTCCTTAATGGAGACTCTTTTACCTATAGGTCCTGAATATTTTTGTTTATTCTATTTTTGCCCTCAAATTTTTATACTCAGATCTGAACATTTTTGGTCCTTCAAGGGTTATTACTCTCTCTCTCTCTCTCTCTCTCTCTCTCTCTCTACAGATTTCTCCACCAATGACCATCGACATCTCCACCATTGCCGACCACCGCCGCCTCCACTGTCGTCATTACTGGTGACCGGAACCGGCATATTCTTCCACTTTTACCATTACTTCCATCTCAACCGCCATCTTTTCCTTCACCACCACCAACGTCTTTACCTTCGCCTCCGCCTCCTCCTCGACCATCATTGCCAACCACTTCCACCTCGATAGTCGTCGTCGCCTCCAATCTCTAGATCTAGGATCTAGGCTCTTTGTCGCCGGGTCTTCTCTCTCTCTCTCTTTCTCTCTGTGTGTGTGTGTGTGTATATTGGGAAAGATCCATTAATAAATCTGTTGAAACCAATGATAACTTTGTTTAAACTAGTGATAAATCAGTGATAAATTTATTTAAACCAGTGATAAATTTGTTTAAACCAGTGACAAATTTGCAGTGTTGAATCTAGGTGTAAAAATGAAAAACACTGTTTGATTTTATTGAGTAGGACCTGTTGGGTAATAAGATCGGTCCATAGGATTGGCCCGTAACTTCCCCTAAAATTTTTTGTATTAAGATTTTGAATTTGATCGGAGAAAAGAAATGAGTAGGACGAAGTGGTATGCTATTAGACTAAATTTTGATTTTATTATACTTTACATCGTATAAATTGTTTATTGGGTCTTGTGGTCTTTGGTCTAATAAAGAGTTTGGGCCCTCTCTTACGGGAAGGGTTCCGATGGGAGGTTTGGATACTTTGTTAATTTTTTGTTGTTCGAGTGTTACTTCAATTTCTATGCTTATAAATAATAACTAAAAAAAGGGTGTCTATTTTTTTCGAGAGAGTCATAATCGTTTTCTAATTATAGTGAAAATTGCAACAACTGTGCTCTTTGATTCATTTTATTATTTTTGTTTACTATTTTGTGTCTTATCAATCCTGATTAAGAAAACCAATTTCCTAACATTGTCATATGTATATACACTAGCATTATACTTGTGTTATGCACGGTGTCACACAAATAATTAAAACATAATATTAATATTAATATTATTTAAGAAATATTTTGAAATATAGACAAAAAAAAGATACTTAAAACCAAATGATTTTTAATTATTTTTATAATAATTACAATTATTATTATTTTAGTCTTGTCATCAATGGTGTGTTCTACATATTATAAACAAAAATGTGTTATAACGTAATTAGTAAAAAATAAAGGCAAAAAATAAAATAAATTATAAAAATTATACTTACAGTAAAACATAAATAAACTATGTCATTGAAATTTTGTAATTGTAATTTATCTTATGTTAGAGTTTATCCAATAATATAGCAAATCAAATGTGCCAATTAATTTTTAAGCTTTATCTTCTTTATGAAACTCAATAAAAATGACTGACATTAAGATTAATTTATAGAATAAAATAGCAAAGCAAACAAAAGAGTCCCTTTTCTTGGTTATTCCAGATCACCCCCTTCAAATATATCAATTATAGTCAAATCAACTATTAAAAATCAAAATTAAAGTTCAAACTTAAGCTAGGCCTATCTAGTACGTAGCCTACCTCAAAACCATTATTTTGGTCTGACTCCCCCATTAAGCTCTTGTTTGAAATAAGCTAATTTAATCTGATTTTTTTATCTATTTTAACTTGATTAAAAAAATTGTGTTTAGGATAAATTTTAAATTTTTTTATAGTTGATTTTGTGACACCCGAATTTTTAATTTAATACCACAATTATATTAATCACTCATAGGATATATATATATATAAGAGAAATAATAATAATAATTATTAAAAATAAATAAAGAAATAAATACATATATAATTGAATACAATTCCTTCGTCTAATATTGGAAATCTCTGTTAAAGAGATAGATTGTGGGATACTGCATTTTAAATATTAAATATTTTAGTAAACAATAAAGTGATATTTTATAGTTTGGTAGTGAGATTTTTAGACATGAACCTAACTTATAATCATATGTAATTTTAAGGATCATTGTGGATTACCAAAGAGGATAATAATCCTTACAAAAGACCCAAATGACTCTTGGTAAAAGATAAGGGTCAAACCAAGGGGTAAATCAGGGGGCAAACTGTAACGCCCCAACTTCTGGGCCATTAATAAATCAATTCAACCTTAAATTTAAAATTTTAACTAATTAATGACCTCAAAAATACAAATTGGCTCCAAAATGATTACACAAATGTCAATAATTTATAATTTATACAAATCTCCAAAAACAATATATAGTGGTAGACCCAAAATTCTCAACTCAATAATTTTTTAAATGCTTCAACTCCAATCGCCACTAGATTTGCTCCACCTGAAAAATAAATTAATTTGGAAAGTATACAATACAACAGGAATAACAAGGCTAGGACAGAGAATAAATCAATAGGGATCCAATAATTACACAACCGATTAGATTTGATAATCAAGCAATTTACCAAATTGCACAAACAAGTCAACTCGACATATGATAATTTATCCAGAACCATATATCCGGTCCTATTCGGTACATGACCAGTGACCGGCCTTACCCACCTCACCCAAGCACAACCGCTTATCCGAGCTATTGGTCCAAGCTATTAGCAAAGTCTACTTGATCCATGTACGAAGCATTTCCACGTCATTTAGCCAGACAAATCAACACTGACTGCACAGAACAACTTAATGAAATTTATCAAATGACTAGAGTAATCAAATGAATCACCAACGAATAATTCCATAGAATTTACCAAACAATCAGAATAATCAAGAAGAGTACAAATTTACGGTGATTAAAATAAACTCTTTGCAAAGAGATTTAGAGAAACATATTGTATACTACCTGAATTACCTCAAATCAATCTCCTCCGTCGCCAATACTCAAATCTCGATATTTCTCCATGGATATCCAAAATCTAAGGCATAAGATATGTAAGGTTTCACAAAATCTACAACTCTCCTTCTTTATGAAAATGTTTATTCTCACTTTAAACATTCTTAATCTAAACTCTATATCTATATAACAAATGGAGAGAGATATGGGAAGAACCATAGAAAGAAGTTGAGATGTGAGCTCAATTTATAGATAAGGATACTTGGGGCAAAAGAAAAGAAAGAGTTGGAGCCAAAGAAATGAACTTTACTTAGCGGGTAAGAAAGGGATTTACTTGGAGAACAAGAAAAGAAACTTCCTTGGAGACAAAGTAACTTGGAGAGAAAAGAAGATTAAAGAAATTAAAAAAATAAAAGATTACTTGGTAAGTAAGGAAATGATGAAAAAATAATAAAATAAAATTTACTTTGTACCCAAGAATAATGAAAAAAATATTAGAAAACAAAGGAGATGAATAATAATGAGATGGAGATAAAAAGAGATAAAATAAATAGAGAAAATAAGTTAGGTTCACCAATATCACGCACTAAAATATTAATACCTCAAAAATACGAGATTTCACACAAACCAAGAGGTAAATCAAGGGGAAGGGCAAGGGATAAGAAGCTGCCACGTGTGTTCTACATGTGATGTCCTTTGCTTGGGCCTCACACATTGGGTGAGTATAAATAATGAGGTGAAGTCGATTAAGGAAACATCAAAACGAAGTAAAGGAGAAAGAGCGTAGCAAGTAAGGTTCAGGAGCAAAGTGATAATAAGAGCAATTTATATAGGTGAGTTATATTATAACTTAAGTTACCATAATATGTTTTCTATATGTCTTGAGCTACCATAATATATTTTACGAATGTTTTGAGTTATCACAATTTATTTTATATAATTTATGTTTTGTAGTTATATTAATATTTTAATTATGTGGATTATTTTCTGGCTCCTATTTGCTTGAAAACTATGGATATGTTTGTTTAAATTTTAGAAAGAATTTGACAATAATCTTGTAAATAATTATTTTTTGTAAGTACCACTACAGGAGTCACGTGCTTTGAGGGACTTAAATAACCATTGGCACCTGTTTCACCACTTTGTGGTGTCATGGATCCATTGACCCCTATCTTGATTGTCACTCCAGTGACCCCTATTCTATTCTGTTATGTACCGTAGTTATACTTATTTACGTAATTTTTATTTTAGTTTCTACCACTTAAATAACTATCCATGGCTATTTTGTGTCCCTATACT